GGAAAAAGCTTGCCGCCTAACAGCCTTTTGTTAATTACACACAGTATTTAAGCTCTTGAATAGATGATCTCTGGGAGTTCCAGCCTCTACTTCCCACGAATTGGGAGGCCACCACTAGCCAAAGCCTCTCCTGTTACAAGACAGGAATGCTGCCTTACATCAAACAGGTAAATCTCAGGATTTTCCCCTGACTATGCAATCCCCTGGAAGCCTTGCAGTGGAGATATAAAGCTTCACATACCCTGACTACCGTAAGGCGCACACACAAGTTCGGTTTTGCTCTCAGCAGCTCCCAACTTCTAAAGAGCCCAGCTGAAAGCCTCCTGACTTGCACACCAGACTACTGAAGCTTTTCTAGTTCTCCTCAGCTTCTTACAGTGCTGACCTGAGCAAACCTTACTCCCACACTTCGTGGTTCAGCATGGACTTGGACAGGAGTAGATACTGAGCATGCAGCACCTGCTGAAGAGCCTACTCCCTCCTGAAGGTGGAGAGAAGCTCCAGATAGCCTCAGAGGAGGAAAGCCCTTCAGAATTGTCAGTTACGCATGCCAACTCAGAGTAGCCAATTTCAGCCAAGTGAGAATTGCCTCCTTACCTCCTGGTTGCAAGTATCAGCTACCACAAAGATCAGTAAGGCACTCTCACTCCCCACCAGCACACTTCACACCACTTACTGTACATCTCTCTCTGCTTTAACTCCAGAACATTAAACATGCCCAGTATCATCCCGAGCCACAGAAGAATACTGCTCCACCCTAGAGAAATGCACATACTACAAAAGTTTTCAGATACCAACAGCCTGAAAAAGTAGCAGACTGCACTGTGCTTCACTTCAGCATCAGTAAGCCAAGGACACGCCATACAACTAGTGCAGCAGAGGAACTTGCAGCCACTTACACACAATTTTGCTGGCATCTGAAGGCGACACACCTTCTTCGTGGTCAGTCTAGTCACAGCTACAAAGAATGAAGTGAGTCTCCACACACACAAATTCAAAAGTATGGGCATGAAAACTTAAAAACATGAATATATCTACTCTTTCTAAAGGTACATAAAGTACAGTCCACTTCCAAAGACTATTGGACTCTAACCTTCTGGAAAAGACAATTTAATGCTACAATACTGAAAATCCCAAACACATCTATAAAAAACCCCACATGCCTAAACCTCTTTTCCTTACCACTTCTCATCCCCTTCGCTCCTGTTTTATACATAACTACAACGCAACAACACTAGACTTGGAAGGAGTACAACTGCAAGAATCCGTGTTTTCCGTGTAAGACCACAACCTACTATGGACTATATTCAAGAACCTAGCATGCACCTTCCCTACTATAAAGGGGAAATACTTACAAGCATGGGCTGCAGATGGAGCACATATTCTACCAGCTAGTAGAATACACAGCTCCAAAGCTGCCCCAACGTTCACCCTACAGCCCGCTGCTCAAAAGCTCTGCTTCATCAAACTGGATAAAACAACACACGTTCAGTGATACCACAAGGTAAGTCTCACAACAGATGCAGAGGCAATGAAGTTCAGTTAGTAGCAGCCCTGTTTCTCATCAAAATACTATTTCTTTCTCTTCAATCTTAAGTTCCAGCTAGAAAGAATACTTTGGTTTTCTGAAGCCATATATAGTATCTCACTGGAAAAAGATGACTTACAATGAACACTTAAACCACTTGTCTCAGTGATGCAGCTCTCGCATAAGGCAGCATTTCGAGTTCTGCTCTATAAATTCACAGATTGAAACATCACAGATTAAAAGGCCTGTGTAAAAAGCAACGCATAAGTTCCTTGCCTTTGGAAAAGTTTAGCAACAACTCTCAATTCAAGTCCCTACAACAGAAAGCCTCCCAGCTTTTGTAGAACAGCAGCTCAGATAACGATGAGGATGTTTAACCTCCACAAGACACCCCAGGAGTACAGCCACTAGCTGCTGTAGACCACCATTTGCTTCTGCACATGGGAGAGGCTAACGCATTACCAGGTTTCCTGGCAAGGCACAGATGATCGCTTTAACATGCCATTCTCTCCAAGCTGCTGACATGCTAGTTAAGACTTCCACTACTCACCTGTCAGACCTGCAGAGCCAAGTTTAAAAACAGGAATGGTGGCTACATACAGTTGGATTTATCCAGGTACAAATGGAGATGAGCATCCACTGCTGTGGCAGAGGATCAAGCTTCTGCATCTGTCCAAGAGACTGCTTTGCATTTTGAAGACCTCTGTGCAGTTTCCAAGGTCCTGCTAGCACAACACCAGACCTAGCAAGGTCTTTGCTTCCAGATGCTGCTGAGGGAGACTGAGAATCAGCTGGTTTGTAACTTGGAACAAATGACTCTGGAGTTCACATAAAACTGGAACTCATAATACATGGAGGATTCAATTACAGTTTGGTACCATCTACAAACCAGCCATTACTGCATGCATCAGATCCTAAGCTGCAAGGCCTGCTGTATTTCCCTGTGATCTGGGAAGGTTTGCTGCTCAATGACCAAGTCTGACCTTGACAAGACTAATTTTAAACCAAAACCTGAAGAAAGTCACAGCCAGTTACCATTTGCAACAGTTTCTGATCCTTAAGCACATGCAGAAGATTTTGCTTTAGGGACTTAAAAGTGAAGAGCCAAGCAGCCTTTAGATGAAGTTTCAGTTTGAGTTCTTCAGCTCCCAGGAGGCTACCTCACCATGAACTGCCTTCAGCTGGAAAGCCAACTTGCAGAACTTAAAGTTTCTGTCATCTCCCCTACAGCATAATACCCTTGGGGTTGGGCCCACTGCTGTGGAACATAAACCATTAACTTGACCCATCTTACAGTTAAAAGTATTAATTAGTTCCTCAGCAAAAATGAGGAAGTGGAAGCATGACGCAAAGCAAAGCAAGGTTCAAAGTGTCTTGCCCAAAGGTCAAGTTGAATGAACCTACTACCATTACATCCATGAACTAGATATCCTAAAACTTGTAGAACTCACACAAGGAACTGATATTCAGGCTTCAAGAGCAGATTTAATTGTGCTCACAGGTTCTCAACAAAACAGACACTTACTCAGGGGTTCCAGGAAAACACTTGAAGTAAGATGGCATGTGCTGATGCTACAGACACCCTAGCTCTGCTCCCCAAGGTATGAAAGGCATCAGCTACCAGCAGGACCCCAGGGCACACAGGAAAGCCAGCGCCACAGGTCCCACTCAGACCCACACTACTCTCTTCCCCTTAGTTTATTTCCCAGTAGCTAGTACACTGCATTTAAAATTCCCATCTCGATCAAGGAGTTCAAACTGTACCAGTAGTTTTTAAAGCACTATGAAACACGTGTTTTAAGTCTTAAAGTTTAACCCTGCACATGTTTCAAGTTAAAATTAGTTTTAATTGTAAACTCCAAAGACTTTTGTTGGAGAAGTTCAAACTTGTTCCTCTAGACAAGAACTCGCTCCCCACTCTAACATATTCACGGTAAAAACTGCTCTGGCCAGAAGATAAGACTAGTTTTAAGGATTAAGTTAATGCTAATACAGCCTTTAATAAGAACAAGCAACACAACTGGCAACATCAAGAAGTCAATCAAGCAAGTAAAAAGCCAGCATCCTTTGGCAGTCAGTTCCAGCAATTTTAATAAACACAGTCAAGTTCCCCAAAAACCCTCCAACACACTAGATGTACGCCTCCAAAGAGCCAAGGATTATCCAAAGTCCTTTTCACTTGGACTCCCTGCTCCAGTTTGAGCTGTTTTCAAACTGTAATTTACTCCGAGACCACACCATTAGCTTGATTATAAGCTTAATTTTTTGCTTTAGGTTGCTGCTGTTAAGTGAAACAAGCTTTTAATCCGACTTTAGCAAGTATATTTGCCTGAAGCCCCTGAACCCTTCTGAGACAGGCAGTCTAGGGCTATGTTACAAAATCATGATTTATCTAACCAAAAAGGAACTTTCAGCCATTTAGCCATGAATTGTTAGCAGCTTTCAACAGAGCAGTGCCAAGCAAGACAGAATCAGGGCCAAAGTCAAATTGACAGTGCTCTGCCTTACCTCAGCAGCAGGACCACAGCGCTGATGAGCAGCTGCCATGAGCGGGTCCAGTGCAGACGTTAGGTTGGGCAAGAACCTGCTGCATGTTCCTTGGGCCAGCAGGCTCTACCTTTACCTGTCACTGCGTAGGGTGAGGTGTAAGAGCCTATATCCACCACACATTTCACTCAACCCCACTCTCTACTCCCCAAGCAGTACCTCTGTACGAGGTGGCACTCACAAGTGCGCACCCAGGTCAGATCACTGATTCCCTACAGCATCCATAGGTGCCCTCGTGGTCTACAGGACTTTTGCAATTCCAGAGTATCTGCCATTCTAAAGCTACTACTCCTATTAACAGAAGCATTTTAACCTTCAGAAAGATTTTCAATTCTTTCCCTTTGATAGAATCTGCTTTTTCAATGCTTGAAATGGCTCAGATCCACTGACTTTGACTTCTTACAAGACTCTGCAAAAGTTAGAAGGCAAGCAGTGTGAGAAGATTCAAGCCGCATGCGATACAGGAATAACCAAGCCAAGTGTTATAAACAAGTTCTGATGTAAATGTCACCTTTCTTCTTTTTTTAAAGCCTAAACAGCACAAAGACCAAAGCAATGCATAACTTCCTCCTGGTGTGGAATATGAGCATCAAAAAGCCCAGCTAGCTAACAGAAGCTTAACCAGTATTCTCTGTACTAGCAACACACAAGATATTTAACACAGATGGGCTGCGCTGGCAGCTCCACAAACACAGCAAGAGGCTGTAACAGAAGAACCACATTGTTCCCACTGGCTGCTGTAAAGCAGAACTGGTAGGTCAGAAGTAACACAAAGTTTGCTCAGCACAGGTAGCATACATATAACTCAGCAAATACTAACGTTGTTCAACTAGCCAACCGATCTAACGCATCCCACCCACAAGTCGTGTTCGTTTTGGCAAAAGTGATAGTTAAGCATCTCAGGAGATCAAGCAGCTCCAGACTACAGGCAAGCTCATCGTCTTCTGCAGCTGAAGAGGGACATCACTATGAAATATATAGTTTAGTTCTGCAAGCATCACCTGTTCTTTGGGCCTCTGCCATCATTCCTCTGCTCTAAGAGAATGTTTTACTTCAGTAGGACTGAAGCACAGCTTCCGACTTCAGTGTAGGGTCCCATCAAACTGTTCGTATCAGGGAACTCATAAAAGACAATGAGCTAACTTTTTACTTGCTCTCCCATTCAAAGCATTCCAAGTTACTCAGTTATTACTCCTAGTTACTCAGTTATGGGTAATGCATTTCCTAAAGATGAGCACCACAAATGGGGACGCAGCTGAATCTAAGTGCTTCAGCTTAAACCTTAAAATGGAAGCCATTCATTATGGCCCTCCAGTATCACCCCCATCCTACCCCCTGATATCGTCACACTACACTTCTCATAAGACATATCAATGATAAAACAGATTGTTTTCTATATGTAAAAATAACAATGAAATTGTTATACTTCGTTGTTATCCCTACGCTTCATGAGGACTCTGGCTGGCATCATTGCTTACACCCCAAACATTTCTCACAAGAAAAGAGTTCCGAGTTTTAGACCTGCAAGCCAGTAAGCACCTAAGCAAGAATTAAGAACACCACTGCCTGAAAGACTGCAGTGAACAATACAAGCAGCTATCTGATCGCAGGTCTCAAGTTTGAGCTTTCGGAGCATCTGCTCAAAGAACAGCTGCTGCTTTGTGCAGCCACATTATCCTGGCTCGAGGCTCTGGACAACCCCAAGAGCAACCATGTCACCAGAGCCAGGCTGGGACAGACAATTCAGGTTCTTGTGCCATCTCACACATCAGCAACAACATTACTTACCCACCTGCAAAAAACTTCTTGTTCTGCTCCTCTTCCAGCCCAGAAAAGTTCAACATGCAGGAGGCCATTTCAGGTAATGCTGTTGACACTGTATCAAAGGTTTACCCTTGAGATTTTCTGCTTGTTTCCTACTTCTCATCCCTATATTATCTAAGGACACAAAAATTTTGGAGAAAACCTCATAGTCTGCAATCAAGCATAAAACCCAAACTGCCAAGCACAAGAACCAGTGGCAAGATTGAGACCTGAAGACTGATATCAAGACTGGTAATATCCTCTAAAAATCCCTAAGCAGCAGCTTTCCTTCCCATCACTTCTTTGTACTCAAACCTACTGGGATTATTCCTACTTGATCTACATTCTGCAGGCTTTTGTTCTTGCCACAAGGTGCAACAGCAAAGGTCAGGAACTTGCTGTTCCTCTCGTTATCCTGACAGGGACAGTCACTACACATAAGATACCGCTGCTTTTCCCAGAGACCAGAACAAAAACAGGAGGATGATACGAACACTCTCCACAGGGTTTAAAATAGATGGAGTGTAAACAATCAGCAATTATTACTTAAGCAGTTAAGCGATACAGCCACCGTAACTCAAATTAGCGCGCTCCTTTCTAGTCTGTAGCTTAATTCCCATCTAACTTTTAAAGCACCTGGACTGCTAGAACAAGCAGTTTTATTTCCCTTCACGTACTTTGTTTGCCGGATGTGTTGCCTACACAGCCCTATCATCTCCCCTCTCCTCAACAGCCACCACACTTACTCCACTGAAACAATCAGTACCTTGCAGGGCTCAATAAACACCATCACTTTGGCAATACTCTCGCTACTTGCCAAGGCTTTAAAGACTCTCATAACCTTACACAGTCCCCACTACCCTTCACAATTCTTTATCTTTGAAAAACAGCATGAAGAATTGGTCCACGAGCACCCAGAGACTCCACACATTCAACTTCTCCTCTGTCAAAAACCACAGACTAGCAACAGAAGTGCTCCAAGAGCGCTGAATCCTGAAGCCCAGCATGCACTAAACCACAATAAAGTAGCTTTCCCTGCTTCCCAAATTACCTGATAGAAAATACACCCTCCCAAAAAAAGCCCTGCACTGTGCATCCCCCGCCCAGCCCCAGCAGTCACATTTACCCTGTTCAGCACTCCCTGCCATGTTTCCTAGGTCTATTCCGATGGCAGGCACACAACCCACTCCCCCAAGGAGGAAGCACTCTTTCAAAACACCTGCGAGCCCACAAACGTGCTGTGGAACACCCTTCACAGTGTATTGAGTATCGCTACAGAAGTGTCAGAACACTGCAGACAAGCAATACTCAGCTGGAGCACAACTTCCTTATGTAATCTGCTACCATACACTTATCTGGAAATTTCAATACACTAAAATTATACTCAAAATCCTTCCCTTTCAAGCTCTACCTATTCCATGAGCATACGTAAGCCTTCAAGCTCTCTTCAATCTTCCTCTCCACCTTAGCTTTAACTTGATCAGTACGACACACGAAGCTTCGCAAAAACTTCAAGATAACCTACAATCAAAGCAAAAACGTTAATACGTAATCCAAATCTGACACTACATATATAACAAAACAGAGTTAGCAAACTGATCTTAAACATGAGGTAGCGGGTTCACATCTGGTTCTAGGCAAAAATTAAACTTACAGGGTAACTCAGACCAGAAACCCTACAGGACTCACTTCTACACCTGAACCTTGCAAGGAGACTCCAAACTGACAGCTACACATTTTGTGGGAAGAAGGACATAAACTCCCTGCCTGACTCACCAAGCTAATAAAAGTGTACTTCAATAATCCTCCTCTTTTTTTTCCTGGTATGATAACCAAGCAAAGTACAGTTTTAAGACTACAGGGGGTCCAGCAGCAGCAGTGTTTTTCTAAAAGGCTAGGACATCAAGCACAGTTCTTTTTCCTGCTCCAGGAAAAGGCATCGCGCATGCCTGTCCCTACAAGTCTACTAGATGAGTCAGGTTGTAGAACAGCGCTGGCTCCATTAGAACAATAATCACACTATTTCGAGTAGTTGAACGTAACAAGTTTACTACGCTTAGCACTTCAGTCTCCAAGACCAAGATCGTTGCTCCTTGAAGAAGGAGAAGAGCCTTTCACCACAAAGCTTCCAAACGAGCTACGCCAAAAGCCCCAGCGCAGGCAGCTGTTTGTTCCCGCGGGCACCTTCTCCCAAGAGCGGCGGCCTTCGCTCCAGCTCGGGGTTCCTCGCTGCCCCCACGCGTGTCCAGTTCCGCGCCCCGAGCGACTCCAGAGGGCGAGGAGCAGCCCCTTAGGC